TTTAAAAAAAAAAAAATTACTTGTATTGCGGTCAGATATGTGGAAGTCCCAGTGCCCTCAAGCATCATGCCACCTGCTAGCCCCTCCTCTTTTTCTATTATTCAGGGTAACTTGGATGCTCTTGGTGGTTGTCTTCATTTTCACCCAAATAAATTCATCTTTGCTTGCTTGGACAAAAAAGTACAAAGTTTCTTTTGATATATACTAGAAAAGTAAAACAGCACTCTGGTAACTCCTGTAGCCTTTAAAGGAAATATGGTAATCCAATCAAGAAGAGTTTTGCGTTCCAGCCCCATAATTATTAGTGGCTACTGACAAGGAATTCTATACTTTGGGGAGCCAACAAATTAAGATGGAGTAATAGAATGGGACTACATGGCTGTAAAACCTGTACATCAGTCCTTTTGACTGAATCTTTTGACAAGGACAAGCTTAACAAGAGATCACTCTCCCATCTGTAAAACAGTTATAATTCCTGGCTACCTCACAAATAATTAAAAATAACACACTCTATAATCTATAAAATGCCTTATATGTGCTAAGATATTTATTAAGAGGACTGGCTCAGCTGCCTAGTGGTTATGGAAGTAAGAATCCACCTGGCTGACAGGGCGATTTGAATACCAGCCCTGGAGGCTTGAAAAAGCATGCAAGCACATATGTGCATACCTGAAATCCCATCAGAATAGAGAAATTGAAGAATTACATCATGACCATGTCCCCTTGCAGGGTACTTGCTCCCCCTCTGTCTCTCTGGCAAGTAGACAGACCCTCTGGCAAAGCAAAACAAAAAAAACAAAACTAAGGGAAAATAAGACTTTTTATGTATAATAGATTTCAGTACTGGGGCAAGGGATAATGGCATATCTGCACTGAAAACACAGATTTTGAAATTAGATTATATGCTGGTTTGTAGTGGCCCATTTATCAGCTTTTCTTTCCTTTCCTGTATATGGACAACTTAAGAAATTGGGGTATTAGGAGGGTTGGCAGATGGCATGATGATTAAAGGTGCTGGATTCCAACATGGCCAATGGCAGTTCAAGTCCCTGACTTGGTAGTTTGCTTTCTCCCTTTCCCCTTCTCTCTGGTCAAATTAAACAATAATAACAAATGGAATTAAATGTTTTTGTTTTTTTTTTTTCAAGAAAAAAAAAAAAAAAAAAGGAGGTATTAGGAGCATGGTAGTTGAGGTACTAGACTCCCACATGGTCGCCCATGGTTTGAGTCCCTTCTCCTGGCAGGTTGAAAGTCATGCTGGGCACATGCGCAGATGTTCCTAAAACTGGGGAGAATGGAGGAGAGACTGCAGTGTGGCCATACCCCTAGTGGATGATTTCTCACTTTCCATCTCTCTGGCCAGTCCACTCACCTGATGGCACGTGCGCGCGCGCGCGCGCGCGCGCACACACACACACACACACACACACACACACACA